CCCTAGTGGCTTTCTCAGCCAATTTCAATTTTCAGAATGCCATTTCTTTCTTTTGAACCAAGTCTGCTCGAAATTTCATATTTTTTAGACTAAAATACATCTTAGTTACTCTGCTTAATAAATTATAGTGGAATTCTATGGTATTAATGTAGTAATTAATGATTTTTTAGTAATTTAAATATATATATAGAACCTGAAAAAAATTATTTTGTTTCATATCCTTCATGTGTAAAACTTAGCAACCTATGTCAAGCAGCAACCGAGTGCAAAGGTCATAACTAGAAGAGATAAATGTTTGCTTTACTTCTTTATTTACTGTTCTATGTTTCAAGAAAAATACGTTTAAGAACTTATTCAAAATAACAATAATCTATATACATATATAATGTATAATAATTGAAATGTGACTGTATTTTACAAAATGCTAGTCGACTAAAACACAGCCAAGACAAGTTACTTTTACAGACCAAAGGTCAGTTTTATGTTATTTGATAAAGTAACATGAGTGCACACGAGCCACGTCATTGTAACTTCTGTATTGTTAGCCAGGCACAGCTGAAAGAAAGGTCAATGTAATAAAAATAATAAATATATAGAAATGTATAATGTTATGAGATTTATGCTATTTACTCTAAACATTATGATTTTGTGTTATAATTTTTGTTCATTCTAGAATGAAAGAAGCATAATTTAATATATATATATATATATATATATTTATTTCCTAATTTTTTATTGTGGTTACAGGATTGGTCAAATCTACCAAACCCATACAGAGATTCGTTACTGAAAATAACAGATAAAATATAAAGTTTTTTTCTTAAGAAACAATTGATAACTATCTGGACATTATAAAGATTTTGCATGTGAAATTTGACAATTTTCTGATGCACAAAAGTATATTTAATCTTAAAATTAAAATTTGCATGATCGATAGGCAACATGTGAAAATAGAAAAAAGGCACGAGAAAAACATTGCTTTACAAACCTTAAGACTTAATAAAAAAAATTGATATTTTGCATATGAAAGCATTGTAATGTTTACAGATAATATGCCAAATTTTATCAACATTCACTTACTAATTTAAAAGCTATAGCATGAAAACTATAACAAGCACAAAATGGTTATGAGGTCAGTCCCAGGGACTAAGCCTGTGCTGAAAGAGTTAATTGCTTGGGGCTGTCTAGGATTAGTAATTGTAATTTTCTTCATAATCTTCAGTTATTCTAGAAAGACAAAAGGGTATTTTAGATTTATTTCATAGTTTTTTGTGGTGTTTGCAAAATTGGTCAAATATATTGAGCTTATACAGTGTTAGGGTAGAGAAAAATAATACATAAAATACAAAGTTTTACTGTAAAAAAATTGATATTCAATTAGGAGGTTCTAGAAGTTATGCAGATGAAATCTGTGAACTTTCGGATGAGAAAAAGTTTTATTCTTAACATGGAAATCACCTTGCACTTAGATTAGTCAGAGAGAAATCTTTAGTAGAAACACAATTAAAAATCCAAATTTTTGATTCACAAACATAATTTTAAGGTTTACTAAAAGCTTATCAACTTTCGTTAAGATACGCTAAGTAAATTCAGATTTATGGTGAACATTAATTCTCCAGTATGGTCTCTGTCTATTGGACTGAACCCATACACATACGGTTCAAGGGCCATGATGTCTTTGTGGTTTGCAAGTGTTTTCAGGGGTGAGAGAAAGTTAATGCAATCCTCGACCAGGGCATTAATTTAAAGTTTATTGGGTTCAAATGAAAATTGTTGACCTGAAATTAGGAAAATGAGGAGAGTGTGGTATATGAATGTACCATTCCCATTTCTGTTAGTAATTATTTTGAATTTATCATTCGTTCTATGTAATTAATCACATATTATATTGATATATGGCATACAAATTATTATAATGCTTCTCAGAAAGGTACTTTTAACTCAGAGTGCTGTACTTACTTACATGAAACTGTGCTGCACATGTTTAGATAACTGTAAAAATAAAACCTAAATTATTTTTTTTTATCCATTATTTTTAAGAATTTCCTGTATATGTGTTTAGGTAACTGTAAAAATAATTTTTTTTTGTACCAGTTATTTTGAAAATTTTTCTTATCTGTGAAAAGTTTTATTAGTATTTTGTATTGTCTGACCCTGTTACTTTTACAGTAAAAAATGTTTTCTAATATTTAGGGTCGTAGCCTCAGCAACTTTACGGCTGGAGAGAGGGTAGGGGGGGGCAACATTCACGAAAAACACCAAGGCTTAACCGGGTGAAATTATAAATATCTTTAAAAATTAGCACTATCATAACACACACATACACACGTTAAATGTTTATATTTCATAAGATATATCATTATTTAGAATTTTTAGGCCTTTTATTTCACTTTTGCTCCGCAATTTCAGCGAGGGCTGCTGCTCCCCCTCCACCGCCAGAGACTAGAGCCCTTATATTTTTTGGACTAACTTTTGCAACATCAGTGATTCTTTATTTCATAATTTCCTGCATTTTGTGAAGATGCATATAGTTAAGAAATCACTAAAATACACATCTTTGTTTTTGATTAGAAAGTTTCATTTTGTATATCCAAACAATTTTATGCTTCAAAAGATAAGATTTTGTTTTTCGTGACTCTAAGATGTAATAGTAATCAGAGTTTCATTTTTCTTTATTTATTGTTTGGTATATTGAACTCTGAAAAGAGTAAAAGTAAAAAAGAAAACTTTAATGGCATGGGTTGTGATGATTATTAAAATAGAATCTTGTGATTCTTCCTGTAAAGTGCAGGATAATTTATAACAAATTAATTTTTTACAGGGCAGGATCGCATTGGCTAAGCCTATACATCCATGTGAACACATTTCAAAGCCTCCATATCCATCCAATTCCACCTTGAAGTGGTTTGTTTTGATTGAAACGGCATCTTGTTCAATGCATCAGCAGGTAAGTAAAATTTAATTATTCCACATATTCCAACATAAATGAAAATGATACATAAAAATAGAATTTCAGTGACCTTTTTCCCTTTTTGAAATTAAAAAGTATGTGGTAAGAAGTTTCGTTTGATTATTTTTGTGTATTTTAATACAAAATAGTAGTAGTTTGACCTGTTTTTGAAACAATTGCTATAGTTGTGGTTACAATATAACTCCATCATCCCATCTGCCCACCCCCCTGAAGATAATAGCATGTAAGATTTAGAAAAGACAGGCTAAGCTACAGGTAAGAGAGTTTTATTTTTCTAACAAGGTTTTTGACTTATGAAATTGGGCTAATGAGCAAATAGATTGAAACTTAGTGTATTAGTTGTTCATGCAAAATTTTAAAACTTTAAAAAAAAACAAAAAACTGTGCATTTCACGTAGGGACTAACATTAGGCATAAAATTGTGTTGGAAATTCATAGAGACCCATAAAAGAAGTTAAACAACATTTCAATTGAAACTTAAGGGAAAACTATATATATATCGGTGATTGAAGCTGAATATTGGCCCCACTTCCCAAATATGGGCCATATTATTTTATTCCAAATCAAGAATAAAAATTTTCCAAAATCATAGTAACTAAATTTTATTCATAAATCTTATATATTCATAAATTTTTCATAAACATTTAAGCCAATGAAAATTGTTTTCAAGTTTACCTGAACACAATTAAGCCAGGGAACAACCAAAAGAAAACTTTCTACAATAATATATTAGCATATTAAGATGAAAGAAACTGGCTTCTTTGGGATACATATACTGGTAAACACTGGAAACCTGGAATGGGTTTTAAGTATGTTTTATAGTTAAACTGTTCTTTTGGTCTTGAGTCTACAGATGACCTGAGTATGTTATGTGTTCATGAAATAACTTTGGCCTAAATGTCAAGTTTGGATGAAAACTCTTCACAGCAGTTGAGAAAACCAAACAATATTAATTTGCCCAATTAGAAGCTTGGTTGAGGTCTTACACCACATTTTATTTAGCAAGGACTGAACATATCAAACAATGTTTGAACTCTGGAAGAATCAAATATTCAACAATGTGCCATTAGTCATGACAGACCCATTATCTGTGTTTCAAACACATTTATAATAAAAATAATTATTTGTAGTAATAACAGTAGTAGTAATGGTCATTAATTATTGTTTTTCTTGCTCTTCAGGGAAATTTATAGAGAGCAAATATTTGTATAAAATTGTTAGGCCCAGAGCAATCAATCTGTATTGGTCTTATGTATTGAGGTAGATAGAAATCAACCAGACAACAATAGTTTACATCTTCCTTACTGTTAATTTATTATTATTATCAACTAAAATGCACTGTAAATGAAGTAAAATGGTGCTATTTACATGTTGCATCTTAAATAATCATATTCTATTTGATTATAAATAAATTAGTCTATAATAACTTTTACTGTTTTTAGTTGTTGTTAGAAATGTGAAAAGCTATAAGTATATGAAACATTTCTTTTGATGTTGTAAAACAAGCATCAGTTTATAAGCTGAATTAATCTGGTTAATTTTTAGCCTCATCTTATGAGTGAGTAAGCTTTCTTTTTTTTATGGATACTTTGTTTATCATTGGCAATTGTTAAGATTATAAAGTTATTTGAATGTACGATTATGTCAGATTTATCTGGGGCATGTTTCAATACACTTGATTTATTTATTACACTTGGTTCTGGTACATATTGTTCCACTAGTACTTTATTTTGGCTGAGGTTTGCACATAACTTGGTGATTTGCATATTCAAAGTTGTTTTAATATAAGTTACTCAATTCTGTATTTACTGATATATTTCAAGGTTATAAAATCTAGACATTTAGGAATTTTATGCATTGATAGCTTACTAGAATCCCATTCAAATAATTGCAAATTATTCAGTCAGTGTAACACTGTGTATTAAAGTTAAAGTATTTCTCAAACAGAGTTGTATGTTTGCTAATTTTTAGATAGTCTTAATGAGAGAACTATATTAACTACAATTCTGACATTGCAAAATAATTCATGAAGAGTTTGCAAACTTTATATTAAAAACAAAAGTTAATAACTTTTTTAACACAGCAGTTATGCATTTTAATATATGTAAAAATTATAATTCATTCTAAGCAGCCTCAAACATCTGGTGCTATATTTTGTACCTACTGTGTGGTCATCCAATTTCTATCATAATTCACATTTTTGATGACTGTCCCAAAACGTGAATGAATAGTGAAATTTTTTGTACATCACATTAAACTAAGATTAAAGCATACCTCTCACTGTCAGTAGTTAAGATGAACTTAAGGCAAAATTCAGTCTTATTTAAAAAATATATATATGTATGTCTAATATCAACCCAAATAATTTGCACAATGTATTGTGTTAGAAATCAGAATCTACATTTTGCAACATTAAATTTTGCTGATTAACTAAAATGTAATCACCTCTTGTCAGTTAATTATTGCTTTTATTATTATGGTCTCTGAACTCATAGATCAGTGGTGTTGTAAACTCTGCTTATTAAACTTTTATATCAGATATTTCGATGACGAGGAACCCTCTTTGAGACTTATACTGGCTGGAGACGGCTTGAATGGGT